GGAGAAAGCGTGGAGGTTTTCCAGGGAAAGCCCCAGGCTCGCAGGAGCAGGACCACAGCTGTGGTCCACAGGAGAAAAGCGTGCAGGTTTTCCACGGAAAGCCCCAGGCTCACAGGAGCAGGGACCACAGCTGTGGTCCACGGGAGAAAAGCGTACAGGTTTTCCAGGGAAAGCCCAGGCTCTGCAAGTGTAGCAACCATGGACGCGGTCGATTCTCACCGAGCTCTCGAGGGCCTGTTCCGGGATCCACAGGCTGTAGTATCTGTGAAACTCGCAGAGCTGCTGGCACCAGGGTGACCCTGGGGGCAGTAAGCTGTCATAAGCCTGGAGCAGAAGACACAGTGCCAGGGGGTCTCTCTGGGTGTGGAGGAGGTCCGTCAGCACCGCCGTCAGGTACACCACGACACTTGCCCCTGCGAAGGACGAGACGTGAGGTGGGGGGGTTTCTTGGGACCCCCTTCTGTGATTCAACAATCCTTCATCCCAAAATATTCAAGGCCAACTCCACAATTACACTGGAAGGTAGCTGTTACCCCCGCAGATTGTACTACTGTCGTTAGCTGCCATCACGTCAGCCCCGACTTGGGGAAACCCCACGCACAACAGAACAAGCCACTTTCCTGGGCCATCCCCACGATCCACTGTGTGTCCAACCATTGCATCCACAGGGTTTTCACGGACTCCTTTTCAGAAGTAGGTCACCAGGCCTTTCTTCCTAGTCTGTCTTAGTCTGGAAGCTCCACTGAAACCTGTTTAGCATCGTAGCGACACGCAAGCCTCCACTGACAGACGGGTGGTGGCTGCACGTGAGGAGTGCTAGCAGGCTGACGTAGGCCTCTGCTTTTTTAAAACACGTAGCACACAGTCAGACTTCAAGTCTGGGGACCCAGAAGTGGAGATCTGAGCACAGAAAAGGCGAGGCAAAAGCGGCCTGGGTGAAGACAGGCCAGGTGCTCCCAAGCCTTTTCCTTGGCACACAGGCCTTCAGGGCTGGGACCCCATGACTGAGTGGCCTCGCCACAGCAGCCCTGCTGACTGTCCACTCTCTCTTCCCCTTCTGAGGTGACTCTGGAAGCACATGATGCAGCTACAAGATGGAAGCCGCCTGGACTCATGAGCCATCTCCTGGAGGACAGCCACCCAGGGGAGCAACCCACCTGTACTGGACTATGACAAGGCCATGAAACCACTGAAAAGCTGGGCTTATTTGTTACTGCAGCAAAACCTGCACTCTCCCAACTAATCATGGGATCATGGTCTGTGTGAGCAATTCCCTGAACACCCAGCAAATATGAGGGACTCATACTCCTAGCATCAAGAAATCAAAAACAAACACTGGTGTTCTAGCTGGTATCTATGCAGCCATGCAAACTCCTGATTTCAGACTTGTCCCTCAAATAGCCAATTTCCCATCAGCCACCTCAGCCTCCAGATTCCTATCCCTGTACTTGTGGCCCTGCCGGCTGGGTAACAGCCACTTTGCTGGGTCTTAAATCCTGCTTCCCTGAGCTTCCAGCAATTAGCTGCAGAGCTCCTGGAGTCCCCCAACCCCACACAGAGCCAGCCTGTCTGGTGCGGCCAGAACATCCTGACCGTAAACGTGTACCTGCTTCCTTTTCTGTCCCAAGGAGCAGCTTATTCCGGGCTTCCAGGGCTGCGGGGGTCACAGCACTGAAGGGGAACGTGAGGAGGATCATGTCTTCGTTCAACGAGAAGCCGACTTCCTCATCCAAGCCTTCACCGCCCTCCACCAGGACATCCACCATGTCCAGGACATCTGAGACGGAAAGAGGGAAGGAAGCCGAGGTCAGAGCCCCTAAAAGATCCCACTGTAAAGAACCCCCCAGGGGGAGGGGTAAGCTCAAGGGTATTTGCAGAAAGGGAAAAAATAAAAGCTACACTTTTCTTAGAGGGAAATGACCAGTCTCAAGTTCGATCCTACACAGATGAAGACACTGCCTTCACGAAGTCTCAACATCTTAGCCAACAAGACGCAGGTCATTTAGCTGAGAACAGTCAGACCTTGGTCCAGAAGCACCCACCATTCCTCACGGAACAGGATCTGTAACGAGGCAGGACTCCAACCTGCGAGGCGCAGGGGAATCACTGATATCCCCCCGTGGCCTCACGTGACACTGAGACCCAGAGGCTTTCACCTGGACACTCAGCAAACACCCGAGAGGCAGATAGTGGGAGAGTTCACGCAGAGACTCTGGGGCCATCGACTAGATCCGGATCCTGACTCTGCTACTTACCAGCTGTGTTACCTTGGGCAAGTTATTCAACCTCTCTGTGCCTCAGCGGCCTTATCTATCAAGTAAGGATAGTTATAACTTCCCTTGGGGTTGTTTAGGTCCCTGGGTGGCACAAATGGTTTGCTCTCAGCTACTAACAGAAAGACTGGCAGCTCAAATCCACCCAGTGGCGCCACGGAAGAAAGATCTGGTGATCTACTTCTGTAAGATCATAGCCATCGAAAACCCTGTGGAGCAGTTCTACTCTAGCACACGTGGGGTCACTGTGAGTCGGAACTGGCTCAACAGCAATGGGTAGTATTAAGGTAGAGTTGTTTACGAGGTTTACATGAGTTAAGACTCATAAAGAACTCAGAGCAGAGCCCGGCATACAATAAACACCGAACGAACGAAAATAATTCAGCAAATAACTGCTGTACGTGTTTCCCGTTACACCACCAGCCGTTTCCACAACAGGCAGACCTTGTGTCTCAGAGAAATGGAAGGATTCCACTCTGCATGAAGGCAGTCACGCAATTCTCAGTCCCTATTCTGCTGCTGCAGCTCAATCTTGCTGCAGCTCAATCTTCAGACGCCCAAGCCAGGGGCGTAGTGACGGTACCGAGGACCCGGAGCAATCTCTAAGCTGCACCCCACCCCCAACTTAGTGAGGGTACCGAGCACCCGAGGCAATGTCTAAGCTGCACCCCACCCCCAACTTAGTAAGGGTACCGAGCACCAGGGACAATCTCTAAGCTGCACCCCACCCCCAACTTAGTGAGGGTACTGAGCACCCGGGGCAATCTCTAAGCTGCACCCCCTCCCCCCATTTCAAGATGAAGAGGCGCTGAGGGCGGTGACGCAATCAGCAGGAATGCCCACCTCCCTCCCTCTCGTCCAACTCCCTCCCTCAGGCGCCTTTCATATTTGTGGCATTCACGCTCTGTCTGGTGCCCCCTTGGACTTGCATCCAGGACAAGCGTCCCCCAGTGCCACCCCCTGCCTCGCTGGGCCTCTGCCCCAAGCAGCATGAGAGGGAGGGGCGTACCGTCGATGTGGGAGATAGGGATGCTCACGTCATCAGCATCTTGCTTCGTCATGGCGGCTTGCAGGGTGCTGGCTTCTTGGACAGAATCAGATGCTTTGTCTGTGTATGAATACGGATTCGCCACCAAGGTCAACAACACCTGTGCATTAAACAGTCAAGGGCAAAACATTCAGATGGCCCCATGGAGACTCAAGAAAGCCCGAAACGACAGTGGTCAAAATAAAGAGAGACGCTAGGATGTCAACAGTCCTTAATGTTGTCGTTAGGTGCTGTGCGGTCGGCTCTCATTCCTAGAGACAGTGCAGGACAGAGCTGCCCCACAGGGTTTCCAAGCCAAGCTCTTAACCACTGTGCCACCAGGGCTCCGTAAGAGCAATAATTTTACTTCAAAGCTTTTTTTTTTTTTAACTTCGTGTTGTGAAACTTAAAACAAAAAACTCTTTTAGTATCACGTTTGTTGTTGTCAGGTGCTGTCAGGTCAATTCCAACTCACAGCGACCCCATGTAACGGAGTTGGACTGCCCACAGGGTTTCCCAGGCTGCCACCTTTACGGGAGCAGACCGTCAGGTCTTTTCTCCTGTGCAGCTGCTAGGTGGGTTTGAACCACCGACCTCCCAGTTAACAGCCAAGCACTTTAACTGCTGTGCCACTGGGGTTCCTTGTATCACGTTTGGTATACCACTATTCCCTTGTGTAAAAACCCATTCCCAAAAGGAAGTTAGCATACAGTCAATTGTTCCCATTTTACAGATTCTAAAACTGAGCAGATCCTGAAGGCTCAGCGAGAAGAGGGTAGTCAGTCACTGATGCACCAAGAACACCCAGTGACGCCGAGGATAACGAGTCCCATCACCCTCTCGACAGGCACGCGCTTACGCTTTCCAAGAACTGAATCACGGCCTCCCTCTCCTCCTCCGCGGTGCTGTCCAGGTGCTCCAGCCACAGCGCCAGCTCCTTCCAGGTGTGCTCAAATACCCCGGTGTCGCGTAGAATCTGTCAGCAAGCAGAGGCTCGGTGGGAGAGTTGGGTGGCGCCTCTGTCCCGTGGGCGCTGGCATTGCGTGATCATGCTCCAGCACCAGAGACCCAAGGAGCACACATGCAAAAAAAACCCAAGCCCGTTGCCATCGATTCCGACTCATAGCGACCCTGTAGGACAGAGCAGAACTGCCCCATGGGGTTTCCAAGGAGCAGCTGGTGGATTCCAACTGCCGACCTTTTAGTTAGCATAGCAGCCGAGCTCTTAACCCCTGTGCCACCAGGGCTCCAAAGAGCACAAAGTGGGTGAAATTCTCACTCAAAGTCAAGTTTTACTCTAAATGTTATTCTTTCAAAATAAAATTCTCATCATTGAGGAAAATGAGGAAAAGAGTAAAGATCATTCTGTGCCCTACCAAAGACACCGTAATCCCACCTTCTGCTTCTCGGTCCTTCTCATTTCCTAAGTAACAAAAAGGGGAGACACCCTGCTGATACCCTGGGGTCTGACTTTCTTCCTCGATCCTCATGCTCAGGAAAGCACGCGTGACTCTGACCCTGCACAGCTGCTCAACCCTCAGCTTGTATGACATTCTCCGAGATAACAAACCAGTCACGTCACATCATCTCAACATGGTGCCTCAAGAGGCAGAACTTGATCAAGAAGCACCCACTGTTTGTAGCAGAAGAGAATTTGTTACTATCCTGCACTTAAATGTGCTGAGAGAGTGTGTGTGAATGACTGACAAGCCCATGTGGTTTGATTACAGAGACTCTGGGCTAAGGAGGCCTTCTGGCGCGGGGCCCCACGACACAGCACACCAAGGGCGAACCTGATTGTGCCAAATCGCACCCATATGCAGCACAAGAAGGACCAAAAAACAGCCGCCATCAAGTTGATTCTGATGCATGGTGACCCCACGTAGGTCAGAGGAGAACTCTGCTATACAGGTTTTCAATGGCTGACGGCAGTGGGCTGGTGATCTCTTAAGGATAAATTGCCAGGCCTTTCTTCCTAGGCACCTCTGGGCCATTATGAACCACCAACCATCCAGTTAGTAGCCAAGTGCTTAACCGTTTGCGCCACCCAGGGGCTTCCACTTGTAGTTGGTGATCATGGAATCTGGCCAGCGCTAAGCTCACACCTGCACTACCTGTAAAGAAATGGCAACCTGGGGAGGCCGAGGCCTAGACGTTCATTCTCCAAGCAGCTCAGGCGGGGAGATCAAAGGGCTGCAGGATTATCGGCACTTCAAAGAGAGGTCAACACTTGGCACCATAAACACAGTGACCCTGGTTTGTGCTGCACGGCAGAAGGGAGGAACCAGATTCCCTGCCGCTACAGCAAGACCTGAGCTACGTGTCCTGGGAAACCCGAGCGTCGGGTATGAGGAGGAAGAGGAGTGACAAAGTGCTCGCTCTCTTCACTGGCCTCGACCGGACCCTGTGCCATGGATACGGACGAGGTCACAAAGGCTGACGGCCCCCGAGAAGGCAGAGAGTCTGCAGATGAGGGAGAGGGAGAGCCCACTAGACAGCGGCCCAGGAGAGCTGGAAACCTGGTATCCACCGAGCCTACAGAGCACCAGACACAGCCTGCTGCCTGACTACATTCACCTTCTCTGCAACCCTGTGGTTTTATTATCCCCATTCACCAGGGGAAAACTGAGCTCAGAGAGGCCAAGTAACTTGTCCAGAGCCACCCAGGACGTGGGAGAACCAGAATCCAAATCTAGAAGCAGACTTCAGAGCCTGCGTTTTCTCCACTGCACCATGCTGCCTCTCAGGACTTGTGCTGAGTTTAAGACACAGAAATTAAAAGTTGCTGTAATATCTATTTCTAAATTTACGTAGTCCTGATACATCCTTAATTCAATGACTGTCTACTAAGCACCTACTACCAGGACAATGTGGAAAATACTTCACAGACTGAGAGTCTGGCAGAAAACGCTCACCTTCGTGATCAGGAGTTTGGTGGATGACTTGAGCTGTGAATGGCTACTGGTCACGAACATTTTCATCAACAAGTAAAACACGGATCTTTCTCCTCCAACGATTTCTGCATCTGGGCCTTCCTACGGTTTAAAAAACAGGACGTGAGAAAAATAAGGGGGTTATGACTTTCTGGACACACATGTACTAGATGCCTGGCAGGGTGCCAGGCCCTTTCCCTCATCTCGTTTTAACTCACGACTCAACATGGCTTCTGTTACTCTGAGAGCAGGTACCTCACCCAAACCCCCAGCGACAGCAGCTGGAGTACCGATGGAGAGGGTGACAACAGGAAGCACGTGCAGCCTCCACCACTACAGAACCTCACTCCCCACGACAATCTTGTCAGGAGGGTACAACGCGGCCCCTATTTTACGCATGTGGAAACTGAGGCACAGAGAGGGTAACTCACTTGCCCACAGTTACCAGGCTGTCTGTTGGCACAGCTTGGGGAGAAACCCTGGGGGTCTTGGAGCGGATGCTGTCCTGTGTGGTAGGGGGTGGGGAGAGAAGAGGCCCCAGGGCTCCTCAAAGGCTGCTCTCGGTCCACTTTATCAGGACGCCAAAACCCGCTGCTGTCGAGTCGATTCCGACCCATAGCGACCCTACAGAACAGAGTAGAACTGCCCCATAGGGTTTCCGAGGAGCAGCTGGTGGATTCCAAGTGCCGACCTTTTGGTTAGCAGCCAAGCTCTTAACCACTGCGCCACAAGGGCTCCATTAGGATGCCAATCCTAACATAACTTATCCTCATAAAAAAGGCCTCCGAACACACGTCTCAGAGAAGTACACGGAACTCCAGACCCCCAACCCAAAGTCCGTCCGTCTGCCTTACTGCAGTGGCCCTGCGGTCCCTGCAGTCAGGAGGCCCAGAGCACTGCACAGCTGCAGGGTTAACGTGGCCCAGCGGGCCAAGTCGGCAGCTGTCATCTTATAAGTATAAGGTGGCGCGTGGGATCAACCACTGTTCTCATAACCGTTCCTTCAAATTAAGAGGTCTTCTGTCCCTAGGGGGGCGTGAACAGTTGATGCACTCAGCTGCTAACCCAAAGGTTGGCATTTCAAACCTACCCAGGGTTGTCTTGGAAGACAGCCCTGGCAACTGACTTTCAGAAAATCAGCTATTAAAAATCCTGGACTAGGAGCTCTCAGTGCAGGGACCTCTATTGGGTCTTCTTTGTTGGTGGCATGAGGTCCCTCTCCTCTCTACTCATTTCTTTTATATCTCAAAAGAGACTAACAACCTAATCTTGTAGACTGAGTCCTGCCTCGTTAACATAACTGCCTCTAATCCTGCCTCATTAACATCACACAGGTAGGATTTACAATACATAAGAAAATCATGTCAGATGACAAAATGGTAGACAACCACACAATACTGGCAACTGTGGCCTAGCCAAATTGACATGTATTTTGGGGGACACGATTCAATCCATGACACTTCCTAATCCCATTAACAACACTAACTTTTCAATAAGGACACGCTAACCAGAGTCCACTCCGACCCTTGGTGACTGGGCCCCCACGTGTGTCAGAGCAGAACTGTGCTCCACAGGGTTTTCAACAGCTGATTTTTCAGAAGCAGATCATCAGGTCTTTCTTCCAAGGCACTTCTGAGTGGACCTGAACCTCCAACCTTTCAGTTAACAGCTGAGTGCATTAACCGTTGGTATCACCCAGTGATTCCAAGGGCATGCTAAGCACCTTATGTTTACAAAAGCAAACAAATCCGCAGGCTTTCTGGTTTACCACTCAGAGCCTGGCCACTGCTCCATACGAGTCTCCCTAAAAGAAAAGCCATAACCTCCTCCTCTGTCCCCCCAACAATGTCAGGGATCTAACGCAGTTAGAACTTCCCAGGACAAAAACTCAACAAGCCCGGCCCATGAGCCCAGGGCAGAAGACTGGAGACCAGCATCTCCCGCCTACCTGTGCCTTCAGCCACAGGAACTTGCTAGCGGGTAGCTCCAGGGCCACCTTCAGAATGTGGTACTGCAGGACAGGAGGGACCTCGTCACGAGCGCCCTGCTCTGACATGACGCCTGGGGATGAAAAGAGGAAAGCAGACAAGTCAGGCGAAGGTGGGGGTCCCAGGAACGGCCGCCGCTGGGCCCACGGCCCACTAAGAAATCCACATCTGAAAATCGAAAGGTGGGATGTCCTGAAACTCACCTGCACACAGCCATGCCCAGTCCTCCGCCCAGGCGCGCCCGCTCCTCTGCTCCTCACCCGAAGCGCCTTCCTTCCCCAAAACCAAACCAAACCAGCCGCCATCGAGTCAATTCTGACTCATAACCACCCTGTGTGTGCAGAGCAGATCTGCTCCATTGGGTTGTCAACGGCTGTGACCTTTCAGAAGCAGATCACCAGGTCTTTCTTCCAAGGTGCTTCCGGGTGGGTTCAAACCGCCAACCTTTTAGTTAGTAGTTAAGGGGTTAATCGTTTGTGCCAACCGAGGAGTCCCTCTCAAGGTCTCCCCAAATCCTTCAATAAAGACCCCAAATTCCACTTGCCAGTGAAACACATCCCTGCCCGCGGCCCACAGTGACCTCTTCCTACAGCCAGGATCGCCCACTCTACACCACGTTACCCTCGAGACACAGCTCCCTGTTAGTACCACCCACCGCTGTGCCTTCCTCCCGGACTGCAGGGTATGGGGGCAGAGACCACGGCCCCCAGGCCTCAGGCTCAGTCCTCCACCGTCTGGTCTGGCCTCCAGATTCTCCTGCTTGGGGAGGACACAGCCTCTCACCGCAAACGGGCCCCGTTCTAGTAAACATCATGTTCTCACAGCAAGAGAACTTTTCACCTTCAAATGATTAAAACGTTAATCACAGGTTTTGGAAAGGGCTGTTTCAATAGTGTGTATACGTTCCAAGAACGGTATCTCTGCCAAGTGTTCTTCCATAAGCCCAATTATACTTTTTTTAAACAAGATTCACCGTCAAGCAAGCATGGCCAGACAACTTGATGTCACTCCGACAAGATGTGGCCTGAACCCAACTCACTGGGGTAAATAGGAGATAAGCAGGTTAGAAATGCATCTATGTGAACAGGTTACTTCTTCTAAGGGCCCCCTGCTTCTGCTCCATTCCTATAATCCCAGCTCCTCTGGATGATCTGATTTGCGGATGGTCTGCAGCAGGTAACTGAGGCCTGGCTGGCTGGCTTCACCTTCTCCGCCCTCACTGCTGCTAAGTGCTCTCCTGGTATTACTTTAGAAAGACCGGCTACTTTAAAAATACTGTCATTAATTGCCGTTGAGTTGATTCCGACTCGTGGCAACCCCACGTGTGTCAGAGTAGAACTGTGCTTCACAGGGTTTTCAAGGCTGAGACCTTTCAGAAGCAGATCACCAGGCCTGTCTTCCGAGGCACCTCTGAGTGGGTTTGAACCAATCCTTAGAATAGCAGTTAAGCGCTGAACTGTGCCACTCGGGGACTCCATTTTACAAATACTGGTCCAAATAAAAACAACCAGGCTGGTGGGTCACGAAGCCAGCAGACTGCCCGCCGGCCCTCCTGGTCTTCAGCTGCGGACTCTGCACTGTTTCGTCAGCGCTTCCCTCAATCTCGCCAGCAGACACGACCCCTGAGACATACCTTTCAGAAGCTTACTGAAGTCAAAGTTGTACTGCATGACCATGTGGGGGACAACCTTCTGGTACAGGCAGATGACCTGCAGCAGGACGGCCTTCAAAAGAAGGGTTTCCGCATCATCTGGAACAAACCAAAACAGCTGCGTTGATTTAGAAACACACGTGTTCCTTTTCCATGGTCAGCCACCGGTAAGCAGCCAACCGTACGTGAGACCACATCCCAGTCAACTGCACACTGAAACCGGAGGAGTGTCCAGACTGTGATCCCTGGCTGCATCAGAGACGGCCTGCACACAGATCCCCAGCGCACTGAGGGGTCAATGTGGTTAAAAAAAAAAACTATGTCCCAACTGCCTGGGTTTGAATCCCCGTCTCATGCTGTGACCTTGGACAGGTGCCCCGTCACTCCATGCGTAGTGTCTTCACCTGAACAGCAGGGACGGCAGCATTGCCAACCCTTACAGGGCTGTCGCAGGGTTAGGTGATGTGACGTACGTGAGGCACGGAAGCCACAGCTTGGCCAGTGACGAGGTCTAAGTCAGTATTTGCTATCACTGCATTTTATTATGAGGATGGCTGTGTAGTCCATCTTGTGGACTGAAAGAAAGGCCCCACATTAAGGCCAGAGCATGCAACGTACATGTTTCCAGTCCTCAGAGAGACACACTGCTTGGGCACATTTCTAATACAGATTAGACTTAATCTACTGATTCCATGCTAACCCTTCTCCCAAGGGGAGAATGTCCCTGTCATGGATTGAACTGTGTCCCCCAAAAATAAGTGTCAACTTAGCTAAGCCAGGATTCTCAGTACTGCATGGCTGTTCTCGATTCTGTAATATGTTGTAAATCCTAGTCTCTATGTCTGTGGTTATGGTCCCATTTGGGAGTGAGCTGTCTGTTATGTTAATGAGGCAGGATTAGGTCATGTTAATGAGCATTAGGGTGGGATACAACACCCTTACTCAGGTCATAGCCCTGATTAGACATAAGGGCACTTTCCCTGGGGTGTGGCCTGTTATCACCTTTTATCTTACAAAAAATAAAAACAGAGAGAAGCAAGCAAAGAGAGAGGGACCTCACTAACACCAAGAAAGATGAGTTGGGAGCAGAGCGCGTCCTTTGGACCCGGGGACGCTGCGCTGAGAACCTCCTAAACCAGGGGAAGATTGGTGCCCAGACACATGGAGATCTCTAGGAGGGCTGGGCCCGAGATGCTGAAAGGAGACAAGGACCTTCCCCCAGAGCTGACAGAGAAAGACGGCCTTCCCCTAAAGCCGGCGCCGATTTTGGAAGTATAACCTCCTAAACTGTGGAAAAATAAATTTGTTTGTTAAAGCCATCTACTTGTGGTATTTCTGCTATAGCAGCACTAGATAACTAAGACAGTCCCCAAGCAAAAAAGCACACAGGATTGCCTTCACAGGCAGAGAGGCCTTCAATCCAGAACTGGACCCTGTAGACAGGAGCCGTGCGGGGTTGCCTGTGTCAGCCCTGTCTCTCTGGCATACAGCCGCTGCCCCACGAGGCCCTCACCGCTCTGGGGAACTGCGCCGGGAGGTGGAGTCACGTCACCCTTCTTCTTTCCTTTCTCATCATCCTGCTTGGTGTCCTGTTTTCTAAGTGACTGCCAGACCCACACAATAGTGTTCAGGTCTGGTAAAATCTAAAAGGGAAAACAAAGAAACAAAAAATCAGTCACATTAAACAACGAACAGAAGCAAATGAACTGAACACATGCTGACAAGCCGCAGAAATCAGAGGGTGGAGGCACAAATATGAGTATTTGAGCGTGTGAGACAGAAAGCCTGTGTGTGAAAAAGTCCTCATGTGAGTGAGTGACTGTGTGTGAGAAAGTCTGTATGAGTGAACATGTGAGTTTGTGTGAGAAAGTTTGTGTGTGACTGAGTGTGTGAGAAAATCTGTATAAGTGAGCGTATAAGTTTGTGTGAGAAAGTGTGTGTGTGACTGAGTGTGTGAGAAAATCTGTATGAGTGAGCGTATAAGTTTGTGTGAGAAAGTCTGTGTGTGACTGAGTGTGTGAGAAAATCTGTATGAGTGAGCGTATGAGTTTGTGTGAGAAAGTCTGTGTGTGACTGAGTGTGTGAGAAAACCTGTATGAGTGAG